CCCACCCCCGCCCATCACATTCCCAAATGTTATCTTTATATCGGCGATTCTAAAGCATGTTCAATTTTCTCCGCACGCACAGAAATAACACCGTTCTCTTGCACCAAGATTGCATATAGGTGTATTAATTCAACGTTACATTATAAAGATATTCGATTTTTCATACACAAATAAAGTATTCTCTTGCCCTAGGACTGCATATAGACCTGTTAATACAACATTACAAAATAATATTTTCGGGACATTTTCCACCAGGGCAAAAGAAGTTCTGAGAGACCGCCGTTGAGACCAAAAACTTTCTTACATAACCTAGAGGAAGTTGCCAGGTGGAAGTTTGAAGTGTAGTGGCCTAGTCCTGGTGAAAGACAAGACTTCAAAAAGTAACAATACGCTTTTCATGTGGGTGAATAACGAAAAGGGTCTTAGTGGTCATATTACGAGGGACAACATTAAAAACCTGTAGGCTTAGTGAATATGAAATCGTGGCCCTTACAAATGGCGAGACCGTCTTGTTTGACACAGTATAATCTATGCAGGTCGTTAATCAAGTCAAAACCTAGATAAAGTTACGACGGTTTTTTTTCAACAGAAATAATTCCACACACGTGATGACGTTTTTGAAACGATGTCGACCCAAGCTCGTCATTGGAGAAATGCCAGTTGCTGGCAGCTATTTGGATCTTTGAAAGGGCAAAAGAAATAATTTCACCGGTATGCTGGTTCTGATAGCTTCATATGTCGTCATTTTGGGAAAAACAGGTTCGAATCCCGGTGTAATCACTACAGCGCTCAATGCGTGTTTCATCTATGTTGCTCTGTAATCAGGTTTTACCTAATCTGCCGGGATCCCCTGCAAAACAATCAGTGTCAACAAATATCTATGTCACGTTCTCCAAGACTGTCCTAAATACAACACATCCAGGCTAAACTTCTGGCCAATAGAAACACCGGTAGAAGCGGGTCGCTGAGTGAATTAGAACAGACATTGAAGTTCATACTAAAGACTACATTGCGGATAAAGAAAATCTGTTTCAAGTGAACGAAAGAAGAATATATGTCAAACAAAACAATAAGTAAAACTATTTAAGACAATTACATTCAGTCCTGCCCACCGCCCCTTTTTCCCCACCCCATTTGGGCTTACGTAAACTTGCCAGTGGTGAAGTTTTTTTGAAGGTATTTCACATCATAACATAACCAAACATTTTGGCTGTTTACATTTAATTTCCATTTCTTAAAGGTTTATTTCATTCTCTTTTTGTTTCCGTATCCTCCCATCGAGACTGCAACCTGGAGGTTCGACACCCACTAGTTAACAAACGAACAAACTATCAAACCAGTCGTTTGGATGCATTCCAACATGAGCAAATAGCGGGTAGCACGTGTATACAAGCAAGTACAGGACAGTTTGACGATAATGTCACATCGGGCGTGAGATAGATACTAGATTCATAAGTGTACACATTATTGGGCACTACGTGTTTGAAATGGTCAACACCACGCCAACCGTCTCTTCTTCCCAGAACATGACCTAGTTCCCATGATTGGCTGGGTCGACCTGAAAGCGATAACAACAAGAGAGAGAGCGAGAGGAGGTGGGGGGGGGGGGGTCTAGACACAACACTAGGGTTGCTCAGTGAGTCGTATCAAACAGTTACATAGTAAACATCTGTGCTGTTTTGATGAGGCCAGCGCCTCGCCATGGATATAGAACAGATGAATAACAAACATATTGACTCTTTATTCACTGAGATGTCACCGTCTGTGGTTTAGGCGTTACGAACGCGCTTTGTAATGCCGGGGTGCCGGGTTCGATCCCAGCTGTGGGCCTTGCATGGGTTTCGACAGTGGTATCGAGAAGCCGACCATCCAGAAAGCAAAGGCAAACTACTGGACGTAAACTTGCCTAGGAAAACCACAACAGCACAAACAAAATGTTGGGGTTGGTTCTGAAACGTCCTGTAAAGGATACGCAACTAACTTTGTTCAGTGAGATAAAAAAAAAAACGTGTAAAGACCTCTTCCGAGCTGCCGGGATCCTTTACAATGACCGTTTTTATGTCTATGAACATCCACCCTTCCTAGGGATTGCAGCCTGAAAGATTGACTTTCAATGTTTCTAACAGCCACTTATCGGGTGCGAATACACAGGGGGAAAAAAACAGATAACGCATATAGGCATGTTTATCTAACCAAAACAAAGTACTCTGCTGCCATTTGTGGGAAGGGAGGTCTGTCTAACCAAAACAAAGTACTTTGCTGCCATATGTGGGGAGGGAGATCTATCTAACCTAAAGTACTCTGCTGCCATATGTGGGGGAGGGAGGTCTATCTGACCAAAACAAAGTACTCTGCTGCCATATGTGGGGGAGGGAGGTCTATCTAACCAAAACAAAGTACACTGCTGCCATATGTGGGGAGGGAGATCTATCTAACCTAAAGTACTCTGCTGCCATATGTGGGGGAGGGAGGTCTATCTGACCAAAACAAAGTACTCTGCTGCCATATGTGGGGGAGGTAGGTCTATCTAACCAAAACAAAGTACTTTGCTGCCATATGTGGGGGTGGGAGGTCTGTCTAGCCAAGAAAAAGTACTCTGCTGCCATTTGTGGGGGAGGGAGGTCTGTCTAACCAAAACAAAGTACTCTGCTGCCATATGTGGGGGAGGGAGGTCTATCTAACCAAAAGTACTCTGCTGCCATATGTGGGGGAAGGAAGAACTATCTAACCAAAAGTACTTTACTGCCATATGTGGGGGGAGGGAGGTCTATCTAACCAAAAGTACTCTGCTACCATATGTGGGGGAGGGAGGTCTATCTAACCAAAACAAAGTACACTGCTGCCATATGTGGGGAGGGAGATCTATCTAACCTAAAGTACACTGCTGCCATATGTGGGGAGGAAGATCTATCTAACCTAAAGTACACTGCTGCCATATGTGGGGGAGGGAGGTCTATCTAACCAAAAGTACTCTGCTGCCATATGTGGGGGAGGGAGGTCTATCTAACCAAAAGTACTCTGCTGCCATGTGTGGGGAGGGAGGTCTATCTAACCAAAAGTACTCTGCTGCCATATGTGGGGGAGGGAGGTCTATCTAACCAAAGTACTCTGTTGTCATATGTGGGGGAGGGAGGTCTATCTAACCAAAAGTACTCTGCTGCCATATGTGGGGAGGGAGGTCTATCTAACCAAAAGTACTCTGCTGCCATATGTGGGGGAGGGAGGTCTATCTAACCAAAAGTACTCTGCTGCTATATGTGGGGGAGGGAGGTCTATCTAACCAAAAGTACTCTGCTGCCATATGTGGGGAGGGAGGTCTATCTAACCAAAAGTACTCTGCTGCCATATGTGGGGAGGGAGGTCTATCTAACCAAAAGTACTCTGCTGCCATATGTCTGGGAGGGAGGTCTATCTAACCAAAAGTACTCTGCTGCCATATGTGGGGGAGGGAGGTCTATCTAACCAAAAGTACTCTGCTGCCATATGTGGGGGAGGGAGGTCTATCTAACCAAAAGTACTCTGCTGCCATATGTTGGTAAGATATGAAGAGCTTATTGAATTAAAATCTCTCTCATTAATTTCGTGTGTCTAAAATAGATTATTTATGTGTTGACTTTTACATTATCTTGGTCATTAAAAGCTAAAATTTGATTCGTTGTTCCGCAATCCGCAGATTTCGCAGTCAAGCTGTAAACTTCAACACATCATGCTAACATGCCTTTTAAACCCCCCCCCCCCCCCCCCCCCAAAAAAAAAGAAGAAGGAGGAGGAGGAGGAGAGGAGAGGGGAAGGAGAAGAAGCAACAGCAGAAGAAATAAGAAGAATGAAGAAGAGAAGAAACAGCAGCAGTAGTAGGATGCAACTCACAGTTTCAATGTATAAATATATGCCCTGTGTTCAGGCTTACTTTCATTATAAACGACTGCAATCTTTATTGGGTAAACGAATTATTGAGGGGAAATCCGGCGTCCTAAACGATATCCTCTCAGTGGTGATACAATTCCACTGTACTGTTTGCACCAGGAAGTAAACTGTAGAGGGCCACTTGCCACTCTCTCACGGGCTATAGTCTTATGTTTACAGAGCAATCGGTATTCCATCTGAATGCGACTGCAATCACATCGGCTAAATTTACTTCTCAGAACATTTCCCCGAACTCAATAAAATGTGTCTGACATGAGAACCGGGATTTGTCTTAAAAATAAAATTTCTGCAAAGATCAGGGTTTCGATATTTGAGCAAGGAGCCGAATAGCCAGCTTGAATGTCACTGACTGACTGACTTTCTACCCCACCAGGACATCACACAAGCGATAAACACCCGATGACACAAAGTGCCACCATGTAGATGAGGATCACCGTGGAGAGGTCCCAGAAACCGCGTTCAGACATTTGGCCATATGTATGGCCTGCCTATATTGCGGCCCCTGGCAGAAGCCAGAGTAGGGCTTCAAATGACGAAAAATTTCGTACTGAAAAGGACGAAATTGAAAATAAAATGGTTTTGAATGTCACTGCACTACCACGATAGCCCTATGGGGAAAATTGGTTTAAACTTCCTGGTTTCGTTTTCTGAATATGAATTAGACAGAAAACACAACTTTAAAACCGAACACTGGTTTATTACATCTAACTAGTTTCGATTTTAATGAGTTGAATAGAAGCAGACCATGTTTTAGTTTTATTGTTGTAACAACATCGTCTTTGAACAAGTTGATCGTTTCTGCTATAAAACAAAATTGTTCTGATTGCAATCAGAACAGCAATGACTGACTGACTGACTTTCTACCCCACCAGGACATCACACAAGCAATAAACACCCGATGACACAAAGTGCCACCATGTGGGTGAGGATCGCCGTGGAGCGGTCCCAGAAACCGCGTTCAGACAATTGGCCATATTTATGGCCTGCCTATATTGCGGCCCCTGGCAAAAGCCAGGGTGGGGCTTCAAATAACAAAAAAATTCGTCCTAAAAAGAATGAAACTTGGATTAGACTATATGAACAGCAATGCTGAATTAAAAGTTATCTATGGCAACAGTTGTCCAGTACCAACAAGTCTAAACCTGCA